TACCAATCCTTCTCAAACTCTTCCAAAAAATAGAAGAGCAGGGAACTCTTCCAAACTCATTTTATGAGGCTAGCATTACCATGATACCAGAACCAGACAAGGATGCCACAAGAAAAGAAAATTACAGGCGAATATCCCTAATGACATAATTGTAAAGATCCCCAACAGAATATTAGCAAACTGAATTCAACAAAATTAAAAGGATCATACACCGGGATCAAATGGGATTTATCCCAGTAATGCAAGGATAGTTCAACATCTGTAAATCAGTCAATGTGATACACCACATTAACAAAATGAAGGATAAAAATTATATGATTATCTTAATGGATGCAGAAAAAGCATTTGACCAAATTCAACGTCCATTTATGATAAAAACTCTCAAGAAAACAGGTATAGAGGGATGTACCTCAACATAATAAAGGCCATATATGACAAGCCCACAGCTAACATCACACTCAGTGGTGAAAAGCTGAAAGCTTTTCCTCTAAGATCATGAACAAGACTAGGATGCCCATTCTTGCCACTTTTACTCAACATAGTATTGGAAGTCCTAGTCAGAGAAATTAGGTAAGAAAAAGAAATAACATGGCCAGCCCCATGGCATAGTGGTTAAGTGCACACTCTCTGCTGCTGGTGGCCTGGGTTCAGATCCCAGGTGCGCACTGACACACCACTTGTCAGGCCATGCTGTGGCAGCATCCCATATAAAGTGGAGGAAGATGGAAACATATGGTAGCCCAGGGCCAGTCTTCCTCACCAAAAAGAGGAGGATTGGCGTGGATGTTAGCTCAGGGCTGATCTTCCTCACACATACAAAAAAATTTAAATAAATGCTTTTAAAAAAACAAAAAAGAAAAGAAATAATCCAAATTGGAAAGGAAGAAGTACAACTGTCACTATTTGCAGATGACATGATATTATATAAAGAAGATCCTAAATCAAAACTGAAATGAGATATTACCTCAAACCTGTTAGAATGGCTATTATCAAAAAGACAAGAAATAACAAGTATCGGCAAGGATGTGGAGAAAAGAGAACACTTGCGCACTGTTGGTGGGAATGTAAATTGGTGCAGCTACTGTGGAAAACAGTACGGAGGTTCCTCAAAAAAATTAAAAATAGAACTACCATATGATCCAGCAATTCCACTTCTGGATATTTATCCAAAGAAAACAAAAACACTAATTCAAAAAGATATATGCACCTCCACGTTCATTGCATTATTTACAATAGTCAAGATACGGAAACAACATAAGTGTCCATTGATGGGTAAATGGATGAAGAAATTCTGGCATATATATACAATGGAATATTATTCAGCCATAGAAGGAAAGAAATCTTGCCATTTGTGACAACGTGGATGGACATTGTGGGCATTGTACTAAGTGAAGTAAGTCAGACAGAGAAAGACAAATACCATATAATCTCTCTTATATGTACAGAGACACAGGCTCACTAAAAGACTGAGACCTAATCATAGGACTATAGAACACTATCTTCCCACATACATACCTTACTACCACATCAGTAGGGTCCCTGTATATAAATGGGAATACAAATGGAAGAACTGCATGTCTCAAACCTTATTTAAGAAGTCTCTAGAAAAACAAAGACAAAGACACCAGAGGAAATTGTAGCCTCTGAAACTTACAACTACAGAGAACAATAAGCACAGCCCAACCCTTAGCCAAGCCAGATAAACATAAAACTTCACACTAAAGGGCTATTTATCTCAGTTTCTCTTATCTATTACATCTTTTTGAGCTTTCAACAAAAAAATCACAAGGCACACTAGAAGACAAAAAACATAGTTTGAAGACAGAGCAAGCATTAGAACCAGATTCAGATATGACAGAGATGTTGGAATTATCAGATCAAGAATTTAAAACAACTATGATTGATATGCTAAGACCTCTTATGAAAAAAGTGAGCATCATACAAGAATATATGGGTAATCTGAGTAGATAGATGGAAACGCGAATAAAAAATTCAACAGCAATGCTAGAAATCAAAAACACTTTAACAGAAATGAAGAATGCCTTTAATGGGCTCATCACTAGACTAGACATGACTGAGGAAAAAAATCACTGAGCTTGAAGAGGTGTCTGTAGAAATTTCCAAAGCTGGATTGTAAAGAGAGAAAAAGAATAAAAAAGGCAAGACAGAATATCCAAGAATTGTGGATCTATTACAAAAGGTGTAATATATGCGTTATGGGAATATCAGAAGCAGAAGTACGAGAAAGAAACAGAAGAAATATTTGAATCAATAATTACTGAGAATTTCCCAAAATTAACACTAGACACCACACCACAGATATAAGAAGCTCCGAGAACATTAACAGGATGAATACTAAAAATATTTACACCTAGGCATGTCATATTCAAACCTCAGAAAGTCAAAGACAAAGAGAAAATTTTGAAAGAGGCGTGAGGGAAAAAATGACCTGAGGAGTTGGGTTTAAATTTAGAATTTTTAGATTCCACTGGCCAAAAATCTCTGGTCACTGATATAAGGCTTGGCCTCTTCTGTTCCTACCCAGATTCATTCCCACATCACTACGCGTCTTAATTGGATATGTGTAGAAAATCTTGCCTTCTCCATCATGCTCTGTCTACATCCTCTGCAAATGGTTTTGCCTTCACCCCCTGGCTAAGCCTCAATTCAATGAATGTGGGGAAGAGTCCTGTCATGTCTCAAAGAGCTTTGGTTGTATTTGGGTAAAAAATTCTGGGAGTGATGACTAGAAGGAGAGTCATGGGCTCTGATGCACCTATAATCTTGATGCCACAGACTCTCTACCCTATGAAGAGGTCTTGGCTGAAAGGGGGCAAGAATGGGCTATCTACAGTGTGGTATCTAGGACAAGGGCCCTCTTGGCTGGGGCTCAGAGCAGCTCTGATGGAAGCCATAAGTGATCTTGGCAAGAGCTGCCTTGATAGAGAATGGGTCAGACACTAGTTAGATGTAAGTTGAGGAGAGAGTGGGAGGCTAGGAAATGGGGGCAGTGGGTACAGACAGGTTGTACAATAATTTTGACTGTTAAAAAGGGTGGTGACTTAAAACAGCAGGCAGGGGAAAGGGAGCCATTTTAGAGATTTGAGTAGAGGAGAGAAGTTTTGAGAAGTTTGAAATAGTCTTTGTGGAGAAAAACAGCAGGACAATCAGGCCATTTTAAGCGCAAATGTGAATGTGTGATCCAATTTGCTCTGTTTGGGAATTTTCTTCAGCAATTATCAGCTGCTAAACGGCAGACAATATTTTGTTCTTTAAAACAGTATCCATTTAGATTTATTTAACTTTATTAAGAAGAACATTAAATAGAGTAAAAAAAAATAATCCTGCCACTAACGTGGGCAGGTCATTTCACATCTATGGGCATTGTATGACTCATTGTAAGAGAGGCAGATTGAGGCAGTAAAAAAACACTCATTGTGGAGGAAGATACTTAAATCTATACCGCTGCCATTTAAGTAATGGCACTTTTCCTCTATTCAAAAAGTGTATGAGGCAATTCACAGTAAAGCTGCTATCATAAAGTGTAGACCCTTTCTTTGAGGTTCATGGAGCCACTCAGGGTAACTGCAAATGACACATGTTGCTGTACACATGTATATGACATTGAAATATGTATGCAATATGAATGTTGGAGCTCATCCAAACTTTGATCAGCAATGTTGAGCAGCGTTAATTATTAAAAAGTTTTTCTTACATGGGGCTGAAACTTCACCTCCCTATAATTTCTACATATTAGTTTTAGTTTTGTAATGCAGAGCAGGTATGCATTTCTCTTAAATGACAGTCCTACAAGGCATAGTCTCTCAAGTTTTCTTTTCACCAGGCTAGACAGTTCCAGATTTTTCAGCCCCTTTCCTGATACAGGGTTTGCATACCATCACTACACCGACCGTCACTTACTAGTGATGACTAACACAGTGATGAAGAGCAATGAAATTTTGAGGATGGAAGACGTGTTTTCACATTATGGCTCTGCCATTTGCTCACTGTGTGTATTCTGTTTGTCCCCCTAGATCCACTCTCCACCCTTCTTTACCCTGCTTTGACCACAGATGGCTGACTTGAATGAATATCAACAGGCCCCCGAGTCCTCTACTTTCCAGATGGACCTGGCCAACAGAAAGCCCAAGCAGAAGACGTGAGAGAGAGAGTTGAATGAGGTTAGTGTGTCTCTTCCCTTAGTCATCACCTTCCTAGCATTGCCTCAGTCTATATGCCCTTTTATGAAAAATCATGAGTCTTCTTAAGGCAGCCGTCTCTATGGGAGTCTCTCCTAATGGATTCTCATTAACTACTCCCTTGCTTTCACCTTTGGACCTGGGGATGGTAACAGCTTCCACATTGCTAGCCCCAGATTACTGTATTATCCTTGTGATTCTGCAGTATCTCTTACCTTCTTTTTTAATTAATCACATTGTAAATAAGTCCTTCTGAATTAAGCCTCTATAAATTTCCTCACCTATCAAATGGGCATAATACCGCCCATCCACAGTCCCTTATCCATAAATCTGAAACCAAGATCTGAAAGTGACAAGTGATTTTCTAATTTATTTGGAAACTCCAATTCTTTATAGCTGTTTATTTATTCCAATTTGTGAGAATTTCATGTTTTACTTCAGAGATCAATGTGTTTGATTATGAGATGGTGCTTTAGATCATGCTTGGGGTGTTAAGTATAAATAGTATACTTATCATATTGTCTTTCTGAAATCTGAAAAGTGATCTACTCTGATCATCCTTTTGTGTAAGAGTTTCATATAAGAGGTATGGATCTGTAGCACCTACATTATAGAATTTTGAAAGTGACATACAATAATACATGTATAGTTATGAGCATGATTCCTTGCTTGTAATAAGAAATTAGTGAATGTTGACATATCTTTTCTTCGATGGGATTCATGATTTTTAATTTCATTAACTTTATATAAATTATTACATTATATTCAGTTTCTATTTTTAATTTTTTCTTAAGTTCTGAATAATGACTGGGATTTTATAGAAAGAGACTCATCCAAAATATAGATGACCATGGGTCAGCCCAGAGAATTACAGATGAATCCAGTCACAAGGATGATAATGAAGGGTCCCAGCATAAATCCTAATCAGAAAGCACATCCCTAATGAATGCAGGTATCTGAAAGTAGACATAATGTAGCCTCATGGTAGCAATGAACAATTTTCAGTGAAATAAATTTGTTTTAGCACAACATTGAGCAGAAGAAAGGAATAAAACATTTGCTTTTTTCCTCCTTTTCTACTTTTTGAGATAAGGAAGTTTCTTCTCTATTCTAGACAGTTTCCACATCCTTAAAGTGAAGGTGCTGGAATAGATGGTTTCCAAAGCTCTTGACAGTTCAGAACACTTATGGCTCTAGGGAATAACATGATACAATGAAATGACAATGGGATTCAAACATCCTAGGCCCTAAATCATTACCTGATAGACTAATAGAGGTAAGTCGGCCTCTTGACCGGCCAAGGAAGGAGCCCACTTGACCCATATTACTTGCTGAGCTGTCACTACTGTTCCCCGAAACGAGAAGGATTAGGACATTTGATATCTGATACTTTCTGTGAATTTAAACTCTGTTCAGTTTTTGCATTATCTTAATACCTGGGCTACTCCCTGGTCTGCTCGGCATGCAATGACCAAAGTTTCTCCCCCGACTTGAGCTGCCAGTGGGATGAACAGGTTAAAAAGAGAGCCAAGCAATAATGTAGATCCAACAATTTTCTTTACGGAATATATTCCAGATAAGTATCCAGCAGGAATTTGGATGATAACTGAACCATAGAAGATAGAACTGGAGATGATCCCCTGGATTTCAGGGCTCCAGTTATACATGGGATTCTGAAAGAAAAGAGGAGACACATTTAGCCACTCTGAATGTTGGTGATTTACTATGATAATCAGGGATGTGGTAAAACTGGTCTTCCAGCTCACCCTGTGTCAAGTAGCTCCCCTTAGCCTAATATTCTCTGTCACAGGACCTTCTTTATTCCTTTATAACATTATTTTCTGTGTGTAGTTACATTTAATCTTTGGTATCCTCAACTATATGTAAAGTCCTTGCAAGCCAAGGGCACCATCTGTATCCCCAGTACCTGTCACAGCATAGACATTTAAGACTTGTTTCTCGAATGTTGCTAAACTATGTGTAAATGCTTCTGTAGAGTGCTACATGGTACACATCTACTGCAATTGTTAGTTTCCTCTTCCCTCTTCTCTTCTTCTAACTCCTCCATTAAGTTAGCCTACTAACTTAAACAATATTTCCCCACATATGCACTGCTCCCAGAGGAAAAAAAATAGTGATAGAGAGAAGATCAAATCATGAAGAGAAGTTCTCAGGCTGAACTGTGGAAATAATTGGATGAGACAGTGAAAGAAAAAGGCCATTTCTCTTCCTTTGCTTGGCTTTGATGTGGCATAGATATTTTTTTTTTTGTGAGGCAGATTGGCCCTAACCTAACATCTATTGCCAATCTCCCTCTTTTTGCTTGAGGAAGATTGTTGCTGAACTAATCTTCCTGTATTTTGTATGAGGGACGCTGCCACCGCATGGCTTGATGAGCGGTATATAGGTCCATGCCCGAGATCTGAACCCATGAACCCCGGGCTGCCAAAGCAGAGTGTGCGAATTTAACCACTAAGCCACCAGGCCAGCCCCAGATGTGGCATGTTTTGTTGTCTTTCCTGGGAGTGGATTTCTCTGTCAATTCCCAGGTTAGAGAGCCTTCTGTACTTTTGTTGCATTGTTAAAGTTGATACAAGAAATTCTGAATATTGAACTTATGGTTGGGACTACGCGGAGGAGGTTGCATATGCTTTTGGACTCACTGAACAGGGAGAAACTTTCATGGTAGTAGGTGAGGGCAGGATAAAGCTTCTTTGGAAGCATCTAAGATAGTCCCCTTCTCTAAACTTTCTCTGCTAGTTGCATAATTAGGAGGAATATATTAAGTAATGAAGGATTTTGTTGAATAAAGAGTGAATGGTCCAAGTGGTATTTTTGGTTGAATACGAAATAAGGAAATAGGAGGAATCTATGTGTTTGTTCTCTCATCAGTATTATCTTGTCCCCCTCATTCCTCTTTTTTTCTCCCTTTCTCAAATCCCTGTCATCCTGTGGCTGTGGCCTCTGGAGAGTAATGTCTCTGAGAGAAATAAGCTTTCACGAGAGCTCTGATAGGAGTACGACTGAGAATACAGAATAATAACAGGGAGAGGCATCCATAAAGTAGCTGGAGGGGCATGGAAGCTCCAGATATTTGGTGGGAGGCTACCCAGAGGGTGGAAGAGAATGCTCTGCCATGTTTTTTAAAATCACAGGAGCTGCACCAAGGAAATCAATACTCACCCTTACTTACATCAGGTGGTCCAGCACACATGTATTCAACTTTCGCTGTGTACGTGAAGAGATCACTCAAAATCTTGGGTTGTTTTTCTTATAGTGTAAAGCCATCCCTCTTTCTGAGCCATCACTCCTTTTCTTCTTAGAGAAAGAAGAAAAAGAGCCCACCATAGTTGGATTAAAACCACTGAGCTCAGACTGAAATTCTCCATACCAGAAGGATAAAACCTCAGTTGATATTTCATTTATTTAATGCATTAACTAGTTGTCATTAAACAAAGTACTCCACATATAAATATATATACATATAAATCTTAGGAATAAATATATATACATCTAGGGGCCAGCCGTGTGGTGTAGTGGTTAAGTTTGCGCACTCTGCTTCAGCGGCCTGGGATTTGCAGGTTTGGGTCCCAAGCGCGGACCTACGCACCACTTATCAAGCCATGCTGTGGCAGGCGTCCCACATAAAATAGAGGAAGATGGGCACGGATATTAGCCCAGGGCCAATCCTTCTCAGCAAAAAAGAGGAGGTTGGCAACAAATGTTAGCTCAGGGCTAATCTTCCTCACAAAAAAAAAAAAAGGAAGAAAAAATATATATACACATCTGTATGAGTCATACAAATAAATAACAAATAGATGATGCCCCAATACGTAAAATGGACTAAGGGTATCCATAGATAAATTATGAGATAAAAAAATGGAAATGACCAATAAATATAGGTCACAGAAATATAAAAATGTGCAAGTCCATTAATAATAATAGACTATTTTAACGATGTGGCAGAATTTCTAGCTATCAGATTGGTAAATTTTAAATAGAATAATGATACATACTCCTTGGCTATTGTGGCAGAGGGAAACCTGATTACAGAATATTCCTTATTCATGTGTATCACCTTCTTTCTCATCTCCCTTCCTTTTCCATACTTAGTGTCCCTTACTGTGCTCTCTGTGGTTTCTATTCTCTTGTTTTCCCTGTTGTCTTCATTTCTAAAATGTTCTGTCTTTTTTTTTTCATAATCCTTTGCTGAGTTCAGTCAATTTCATTTTTTTCATTCATCTGCTGTCTGAGCATAGCCTCCATCTGAGCATAGCCTGACCATCTCTGCTTTGAGCTCCTGCATATGCTGCCCTGTGGTATTCCTTCCATAGCTATAATTGCTTTGCTAGCTTTTAGGTTCATTTTGTAATTTCAGGTTATGATTTAGATCTGCTTCATGGAAACAATTTTCTGACAAGTTTTCATATTTTAGAATACTTATGTGCTCTATTTCTTCATCTAGTATCTTTGTATAGCAGCAAACAGAATTCCTCTTCTGTGACTCATATTTGAAGGAGATCAGTTTTCCTGGATTATAGCAGGAGGTTCCATAGGGGAGTGAATGTTCCAGAGAAAGGTTCCAAGCTCCACAGCTTGAGGTTCCTCCGCTCTTGCTACAGAGAAGGATCTAAAATACAGCCCCTGTGAGTGGCCGTTTCTCTAGAAAATGGGGTTCTCATTATTTAAACTAAAACAATGGATTATTAAAATATTTAAGAATACAATTCAGGAAAAAGTTTTTGAATAATATAGATTTTAACAGATTTTTGAGATACAATTGACACAAACTGCACATTTAGTCTTTGGCATAAAGTATACAACTTGATAAATTTTTAAATACAGGTAGACTCGTGAAACTATCACCACAATCAAGATGATAAACATACTCTTCACCTCCAAAAGTTTCCTTAATCCTTTTATAATTGCTGCTTCCTGCTCCTCCCCATCACTGAGCTGCTGCTTCTTACTATAACTTAGTTTTCATTTTCTAGAAGTTTTACATAAATGCAGTCATACTGTATGTACTATTTATTTTGTCTAGCTTATTCCACTCAGTATAATTATTTTGAGTTTCATACATGTTGTTCTGTGTATCAATAGTTCATTTCTTTTTAGTGCTAAGTAGTACTCCATTTTATGGATGTCTCATAGTTTGTACATTCATTCACCTATTGATGAATGTTTAGGTTGTTTCCAGTTTTGGACGATTACAAATAAAGCTACTGTGAGCATTTATGTACAAGTCTCTGTATGGACGTATGCTTTCATTTCTCTTCAGTGAATATCTAGCAGTGGAATGGCTGGATCATGTGGTAGGTGTATGCTTAACTAAAGTGGGTATACCATTTTGCATTCTCACCAGCAGTGTAGGAGACTTCCAGTTCCTCCACATTCTCGTCAACACTTGGTATGTCCAGTCTTTATAATTTTAGCCATTTGAACTGGTGTTTTGGAATAAATCTTTGTGGATTTAATTTGCTTGCCCCTAATGACTAATGATTAGGAGCATCATCTCATGTGAGTGTTTGCCATCCATATATCTTCTTTGATGAAGTGTCTGTTCACATCTTTTCTCTGTTTTTGTATTATTTTTTATCATTTTAAAATTATTTTTGTATTTTGTATTATTTTTATAGAATTCTTTTATTAGATATGATTTGCAAATATTTACCCCTGTTTCTGGTTTGTCTTTTCTTTTTCTTTCCTTCTTTCTTCCTTCCTTCCTTCCTTCCTTCCTTCCTTCCTTCCTTCCTTCCTTCCTTCCTTCCTTCCTCTCTTCCTTCCTTCCTTCCTTCCATTTATTTTTGTGAGGAAGATCAGCCCTGAGCTAACATCCGATGCCAATCCTCTTCTTTTTGTGGAGGAAGACCGGCCCTGGGCTAACATCTGTGACCATCTTCATCCGCTTTATATGGGACGCCGCCACAGCATGGCTTGACAACCGGTGCGTGGGTGAGTGCCCGGGATCTGAACCTGCGAACCCCCGGCCACCGAAGCAGAGTGCGCACACTTAACCGCTATGCCACTAGGATGGCCCCTCTGGTTTGTATTTTCATTCCCTTAACAGTGTCTTTTGAATGTTGATGAAGTCCAATTTTATGTTTGTTCTTTTCTGGATCATGAAAAAATCAGTAGTTCATATGTGTGCGAGTCTATTTCTGAACTTTATTTCATTGATTGTTTTTCTGTCTTTATGGTACTACCACACCATCTTGATTGCTACAACTTTATGACAAGTCTTAAAATCAGGTAGGTCGTGTTAATCCTACAACTACTGATTTTCTGACAAACATTCAAAGACAATTCAGCAGAGGTAGAAGAGTCTTTTCAACAAATGGTGCTAGAAAAATTGTATATCCATATGTAAAAAAGGATCTTCAACACAATATATACAAAAATTAAGTTGAAATGAATTATATATTTAAATGTAAAACCTGAAATTATAAAACTTCTAGAAGAAAACATAGCTGAATTTTTTTTACCTTGGGCTTTGCAAAAATTTCTTAGATGTAACAAACAAAAGCACAACCTACAAAAGAAATGTTGATAGAATTTCTTCATGCAAAAAGAAAATGATATAGCTCAGAAATGTAGATATACATAAAAAAGGAAGAGCAACAGAAAAGAATAAATGAAGGTGTAAATTATTTTATTTTGAATTGATATAAAGATAACTATTTGTTTAAAGCAATAATGTAATTATGTATTGGGTATTTATAGCATACGGATAAGTGAAATGAATAACAGCAGTGTCACAGAGATGGTAGAGAGGAATTGGGAATACCATGTTCTAAGGTATCTGCACTACACATGAAGCAGGATACTGTTATTTGAAGGTGGATTTAGATTCTTAAAAAACGTATATTGTAAACCTTAAGGCAATTACTAAATCAGGTTTTTTTTAAGTATAATGATACATCAAAAGAAGAGATAAAATTTAATCATATAAAATACTCAAACTCAGAAGAGCCAAAAAAAGGAATGAAAAAAAGAAAGGAAACTAGAAACAAATGTAACAAACAGAAAACAGTTACCAATTTTATATTTGTCTCTTTCTTTTTTCAGTTCTAGCAGTTTTTGCCTTCTATATTTTGATGCTCTGTTATTAGGGACATACATGCTTAAGATTATTATGTCTTCTTGGAGATTATTATGTCTTCTTCTTTGTCATTAAGTAATGCTCTCTTTATCTCTGATAATCTTCCTTATAAATTCTGCTTAGTCTGAAATTAATATAGCTTCTTCAATTTTATTTTGATTAGTGTTTGCATGGTTGCATAATGTTTGCATCTTTCTTCATCCCTTTACTTTTAATCTATCTGAATCTATGTATTTAGGGAGGATTTCTTACAGACCCCATATTTGGAGCTCTTTAGTTCTTATCAAATCTGACAATTTCTGTCTTTTAACTGGTGTGTATAGACTATTCACATTTAAAGTGATTATTGATATAGTTGGCTTAAAATCTACCATCTTTTAACATTTCTTGCATAGCAGGCCTGCTGGCAATGAATTCCCTCTGTTTTTGGCTGAAAAGTTCTTTATTCTCTTTCACTCTTGAAGTAATTTCATTGGATATAGAATTCTAGGTTGGCAGGTTTTTTGTTTTTTTTTACTTTCACCACTTCAAAGATTTCGTTTCTCTCTTCTTGTTTGAATGATTTCTGATAAGAAGGCTTCTGTAATTCTTATCCTTGTTCCTCTGTAGGTAAGGTTGTTTTTTCCTCTGACTTCGTCAAGATGTTCTTTTTGTCTTGGTTTTCTGCAGCTTAAATATGTATGTCTGGGTGGTTTTTCTTGTTGTTAATTATTTTTCTTTCTGGTATTTATCTTGTTTGTTGTTATCTGAGCTTCTTGGATTTGTGATTTGGCGTCTGCCATTAATTTTGGGAAGTTCTTAGCCATTAATTTTAAAAATATTTCTTCTTCCCGTTCTCTCTTTCTGCTATTCCAGCCATGCATATGTTATACATTTTGATATTGTCCACAGTTCTGGGATGTTCTGTTAAGCATTTTTTTTTTTCTCATTCTCTTTTATTTCAACTTGGGAAGTTTCTATTGACCTATATTCAAGTTCACTGATTCTCTCCTCAGCTGTGTTGAGACTGCTTATGAGCCTGTCAAGGCATTCTTCATTTCTATTGCCTTGATTTCTAATGTTTCTTTTTAAATCTTATAGTTTCAATCTCTCTACTGACATTACCTATCTGG